ATTCCCAGACCACTATTTGTATGAATGTCCTTATTTTAATGTCATCGATTTGACATCGTTCAGTAACACCATGTAGATTAGAGGTTTAAGTAGCAGATGGTAGCTATGAAATATCATATGCCTCGATTCTGATGTCAATTTGAAAGAAGCTTAAAACTTCATGTCAAGGAAGTATTCACGATTATTAAAATAAGACTGCTTGTTTTTTCCCCAACGGCATCTTATACAGGGTGTTCATTTGAAAACTTCCCACCACGGATTTATCGAAAACCACTGATCAAAAGAAAAAACTCAGAGACACGCCAAACGATTTGCCGAGGGGGACAACTTTTTAACCGATAACTACTTCACCCTCTGACATGTCTCGGTGTTTTTTCTTTTAATCAGTGGTTTTCGATAAATCCGTGGTGGGAAGTTTTCAAACGAACACCCTGTATATAGGATCATGTATGAGGTCGAGGTAAAAGCTTTCGCAATCAAGAAAACAGTATTACGGACTATATGTTATCTAAGTAGGGTAAAGGTGCAAATGATGGGAAATACTTCTGAGTTCAGAGCAGAAAACAGCTTCCCGTAAAATCAGTTAAAGCTCCTTCCGCATATTCTTATCAAATCATAATTTCGCAGTAATGTAGATTTTCATAACTTTGGAAACATGGCTTCATGGTAAAGCTTGGGAGACAGATTTTTCTTTTTGCGTATCTTATCTATTCAAACTGCTGTAGATATACATATAAATATCCATTGAGGGAAGCTGAAGTCTTTCGTACAATCACAAACACTGGAAAGGATATTTTGGGTTTTCATACATATAAATTCTTGTTAAAACATCCGTACAATTCGAATAACGTTTATCAAAGCGACAACAGTATCGATACATCTTTAATCCCCTCTTGGCGGAATACGGAAGCGCAGAATGACGAATGGGATGCAAAATAGCACTTAGGTTAATTACGCTGAACAGAACAATAACAACGACAATAAGTACTGCTCCGAAGAGAACGGCTTTTAACAGGAACTGTTTAACAGAAAGCTATATGTTAATTTCCGTATTTACTTTTAGAATCTAGGTAAAGAGGTAAACGTTCACATAGCATTGTCTGAACGTCGTAACTCAAAAATCGTCGATTATTTGAAAAGAGAAACTTTGTATGTTGTGGGAATACATAAAACACGATTTGTGGTAACAGCGAATTATGCATTGAGGTGATAGGTATTTTGTTTTCTTGGTTTGGTCGAGGAATATTACGACACTTACACGCTTCAGTGCAGTTCAGAGAAAGGTTGAAGACATTTTTTGAACTAGTTAGCGACATATATCTTTGTAGTTGATTTTGCACCATGTCGCTTAATAAGTTCAGTTATTTTTATCACCTGCAGTTCCATTTATTGGTCAAATTATTGAAAAAGAATCAAAAAACAACCACAGATAAGCTCCATTATCCATTTTTGAACTATGACGGCAAAACAAATAAATGAAGAAATAAATGTTATTTAACCTAATATAGGCTCTTTATGAGCATATTTACTATAGAAAAAACACATGAAATCAAAATTCTAATATAAAATAACGCTTGTTAACCAATTTATGAGCTGCTCAAGGTTAGCAGGACTGGGAAAAGCCTCCTCGGGTAGTGTTCGTATCGGCCAGTAATGGACGTACGAAGTTCGACATGGTTAAGGTGGGATTCCGAAGTCAGAGGGTCTGTCTGGTAGGCGCATCGCGTGGAGGCATTATGGGTGAGAGCTTTGAGGAGCAAAGCTCGTTGGCGTAATGGTAGAAGAGAGCTAGAACACTGAAAGAGTCCCGAGACTGTCCGTTAGATAAGATTCATCGATCAAGCAGACAGTACTCATCTGAACAGCATCATGCAATGATAATGTAGTCGAAGCGGCAGCACCACAAACATGTCAGCAGCACCCGAGGCTAGGTCTTATTTGGGCCTTGTACAGAGTGCGGAGAGAAGTACTTCTTAGCCCTAAAGAATAGATGAGCGTTTTCCCAGCAGCTGCTGTTATTGACGAGTGGTGCTCCTGTCATAACAAGTCCTTGGTGATCTGGACTCGGACTAGCCGAAATGAACGGCTTTTTGGTAGAATTTGGTCATCCATCGAGACCGGATAAGCGCTAGTGCGCTTCTTGTTAGTCAAGATACACAGATACTGTGATTTGGACGCATTACACTGTACCAGATTGTTACGTCCCCACGCAGTGATAATTTCCAGGTCTATCGTCAGAAAGGAAGTCGCTGCTTATCTTTTTTTCTCCAGCTCACCGGCACTCTGAACTCCTGCATGTATAGTAAGTCATCAACTAAGCTGGGGATTGGATTGGTCATACAGGAAAGGAGTCGATTTATGTAACAGGTACAATATCCGGGCCAAGATAGATCCTTAGAGAGAATACCGATCTCTTAATATTGAAAAGCTTTGTTTGGTAATATTTTGTAGTGAGACCCCACTGGAATTAAACCGTAAAGACGGCTGGTATCTTGCATGTTTTGCGTAGATTCTTTCGAGAACTATTCAAAATAAGCTATTCCTTGGTATGAATAACGCAGATTAAAAAACTTCCCAGATTGATGGATTTTCTGATCTAATTACACTTACAGCGATACTTAAGTCAATTTAAATAGAATTAACCTACATCAATAATAATTATATTATTACAAAATCGCAATCTCACAAAAAGACAAAAACTTGCATCAAGGGGACCTTGTTTCTAGTAGTGGTATCGTGGTATCGTGAAATAATAATGAGCTTATTATTCATATTCAATAGGTATTATTTTAGTGGTCGTGAAGTGTAATTTTGACATCCTATGCATCGTTTTTCTAAAGCTGATAAAAATATTTGCGAGTGAAGGTTAAAATGTCTATACAGTGTGTAAACGTTTTTCTTTTCTAAACCCACACTGCACTTTTTTTGTATTCAAAGAAGGTGTTCAAAATGTCGTCCTCCACTTTCCACACACGCTTCATTACGACGAACCCAGTTTCTTCTTACTCAAGGTCCTCGAAGTTGTCCATTTATTATTTCAGCCGTATTAAAAATTTTTTCGCTTCAGTTGTTATTGGACCAGCCCCATAAACCATCCCTTTAAGTTCGCCACAATGCCAGAAATCCATCGGATTGAGGTCAGGAGATCTTTCTGGCCATTTTTGAGGATCAGGAGCATTTCGACCGATCCAGCGATTTGGATAACGTTAATTCAAATACTGAATGACGCCTCTAAAATTGTGTGGTGGTGCCCCGTCATGAAGAAACCACAAATTATGTCTCCGTCGTAATGACATGTTGTCTAAGGTCTATTCCAAAAGTTCTGGTAGGTTATGGGCTAGAAAGCTAAGGTATCATCCTGACAACTTTGGAGTAACTCGAATGGGCCAATTACATGATTGTCAAGAATACCCGCCCAAATATTTATTTTAAACCGTTGTTGGAAATGACCTTCACGAATGGTGTGAGGATTTTCTTGAGCCCACGTGTGGGTATTATCGAAATTTAATATCCCGTCTCGCGTAAAGGTACATTCGTCCGTCGCTAGAATGTTTTAAAAAAAATCCGGATTTTCAATGCTTTTGTGCAAAAACCACTGGCAGAATGTTAGGCTGCGAGGATAGTCTTCTGGTCACAAGGCCTGCACTCGTTGTACATGGTAGGAATAAAGCAAATTTTCCCGTAGGATTCTATGGACGATGGTACGCGATAGTCCTACGCAGCGGCCTAATTCCCGAGTGCTGATATCTGCATTGATTTCCACGATATTTAAAATTTGTTTCTCCTGCTCTACAGTAACCTGTAGTTTACGAGTGCGAATATTAGTGGACTGAACACTTCCTGTATCTCGAAGTCTTTGGTACACTTGCACAAATGTCCTTCTATCTGAGTGTACCCGTTGGCGAAATCTGTCGCGATAAAATTGAGCTGCAAGATTTGAATTCTGACGAGCTTCACCGTCAACTAACAACATGTCAGCTACTCTTGAGTCGCGAACATTGTAAATAAACCCGACGATGTACGCGAACAAAAACAAAACAACACGCCCGATGCTCTGCTCAACTAAACCATACAGTAATTTATCTATGCAAAACGATAACTAACTACCGTTTGCGATCGATTGCCGGTTCGATAAGAGTGATGAAAGACTGACGCGCTGTTGTCATGTGTGTTTTAAATATTTAATTTAATGAAACTTACTGACTGCAAATTTTGGCTTAACTTAGAAAAACTTAATGGCATTTATTTGTTAATTATCCAATTTAAAAACGTTTTAGATTATATTATAAAAATTAGTAAGATTGTGGTGATTGTGGTCAATATAAAGCACTTAAAGTTGTAAACTAGACAAAAATCTATTGACTTTTGGACCATGGGTCATATGAACCTTCTGACTTATTTTGACTCCCCTATTACCCATGTCAATAATGACTACAATAACGTTTACACCCTGTAGAATGTGAAATAACGATGATACAGAAGTCCAGATTCTGATTATCTTTATAATGGGGTAATTTATAAATTGTGAAACTACCCAAATAAGAACCTAACTCGATCAATTTAGGCCGTATGAGTATTTTCTGTACACCTATCGATGGAAAGCGATATGTGTCTCCTTTCACATTGCAAATCAGATACATACTAGGCATACTAAGTATTATTTTTTGCTCTAACAGGCTGAAATAAATACTAAGTGAGAGTTCGTTTACAGGGTAGGCTTGTTTCATTTTTTCTGACTGAAGATTAAATACTTGAAAGTTTTTACTATCTAGGAGACGTAAGGATATAAAGATAATAATAATATTTATTTACTCCTAAGACACAATATAAAGAATCAGCAAACAAGGGCCCTTAGGAGGAATTAACTGTACTTGGATTTTTGGATTTGGATTTTTTTATCCACAAGCATTTGATAAACTGGCACTTCTCTAACGATACACCACATAAGTCAGTATTTCTCAGATCTTCTCAACAACGTATCTGCCTTCTAGGTCTGCCAAATGGGTTAGTCAAACTTCGGGATTCTCGTTACATTTTGATTCCACCCTATAATCAATAACTACGCTCAAAAATGGTTGTATTAGCCACAAATAAAATTTTGATTTTACCACGTCCATTATGGGACTACGGTACTTATCACTTACCATAAGCAAATTGGTTTGTCTGAAATTAACATACTCGGTATTGATAAACAACTTTTAAGTAAATTAATTGTATTTCCATAGTTTAATCTAATCTAGTAAACTATTTACTTTTTACAAGTTTCGAGATAACTCATCAGCAAATATTTACTTGTTACAATCATAAGCAGTACCTCAGTATTCAGGCGTTGTCTTCGAAGCCTCCAACCTTAAAAACACCTGGCTTTATGGTTAAATGTGTCACTGGCGTAGTTTTCTCAAATCGGAAGTCAATTCTAAATGAAGACTCGTTATCTAGGTTATAACATTATCATTTCCGATGTGATTATAATCAACAGACATTCCATAACAAATACCGCAAGATGCCTTATATTGAAATAATTTCACCTTCATTCTGGTCGAATGGTTTCGCGTAATCAGGTTTAGATTGTCATATACAGGATATGCGAATGTTTAAGGGCGTGTATCTACAAGAAAAAATACTGTTAGTTTGCTTCATAAACTATGGTCAAAAAATGTTTCCTTACAAAAACTCGGGTGTTGAAGTTTTAGGAAAAAAATGGAAATTAATTAATATTTTCAGAACCGCTCCAGATATTTCACTGATATTGAGAACGTAGTGAAAGTTATTAAAGTTGCACATTTTTCAAAGCAAAAATAATTTTCAGCTTTAACGGTGGCGTGTGTACGAGTATTGACTTGGTTTTTTGCCAAATAGAAATTATTTTTGAATTCCCCGTTCAATTTAAAACAAATGATCTCTCTTGAATTGTTTTTCTTTTATTTTAAGCAAAAAAATAAAAACCGTTCTATTGTCCGAGAAAATTAATGTAATAATTGAAGAATACAATTTAGCAATAAATATCTAGTTGCTCTAGAATATGTCACTGGCTTTTGACATCTGACAAGTCTTTGTTATTTAAATCTGTTCGCTGTGACATCTTTTTCATTATTTATTTTTTTAAATCTTGTTAATAATGGTGAGTTATTTAAATGCAGAAATGGCGAAAATGCATTACGTATATGGCCTTGCCGACGGTAATGGTGAGCAAGCCAGACGGATTTATCACCAGAGATATCCCGATCGTGCTTTTCCAGGTAGTCGAACCTTTTCTAATATTCATCGTCGTCTTGTTAAAACTGGTTCTGCCCGAAAAGGAACATCTGAAGGTAGACCTCTAAGTGTGAGAACACATGGAATTAAGGAAGCAATATTGCACGAAGTCGAAGAACATCCTGAAACGAGTACGAGGAAGATCGCTAGACACTTAAATATTTGCCACCAAATTGTTTGGAGAATCTTAGTGGATTTTTTGTTATATCCTCACCATATTTTAAGAGTACAGGCATTACTCCCCATTGATTTTTCAAGACGTGTGACCTTTTGTCAGTGGTATCTTCAAAAAATTACACAAAATCCGCAACTTGAATCAATGATTCTGTTAACGGACGAAGCTAATTTTTCTCGAAATACCATTCAGAATTTCCACAATAATCATTTGTGGGCAGAAGAAAATCCCTATGCCGTAACCGAAACCCATTTCCAACACCAATTTTCGGTTAAAATATGGGCAGGAATTATTGGCTACCACTTTATTGGCCCATTCTTCTTTCCGGTACGACGACTTGACGGACAGACTTACGTCAATAGCGGTGCGTAATTATTTACAAACTGTTTATCCAAATCGTTCGATTGGCCGCGGTGGGCCACAAGAATGGCCACCAAGGTCCTCAGACCTCAACAGTTTAGATTTCTTTTTGTGGGGCTATCTTAAGACACTAGTGTACACAAGTCCCATTAACATTGTAGAGGAATTAAGAGAATAGTTGCAGCTTGTGATAGAATAAAAAACACTCCAGGGATATTTCATCGAGTGCGCAATTCCATGAGAAGGCGGGCGGAAGCATGCATACTAAGTGAAGCGGGCCATTTTCAACAATTTTTGTAATCATTTCGTTGATTTTAATGTTATGTTTATGTTGTCAGTTGTTGTTCATTACCCCTAATGTGTTTAATTGTTCCAATTAAATTAATAATAGTTTTTCAAGTTAGACAATAGAACGGTTTTTATTTTTCTACACAAAAATGGCGCATCGAAGGAAGAGAGAAGAGAGAGATCATTTGTTTTAAATTGAACGGGGAATTCAAAAATAATTTTTATTTGGTAAAAAACCATTGGCGTAGCATTTTTATCTTCAAAAATATCGAAGTCAATTCCTGTACGCACGCCACTGTTAAAGCTAAAAATTATGTTCGCATTAAAAAATATGCAACTTTATTAACTGTAACTACGTACTAAATAGCAGTGAAATGTCTAAAGCGGTTCTGAAAATATTAATTAATTTCCATTTTTTTTCCTAAAACTTCAACACCCCGAGTTTTTGTAAGGAAACATTTTGGACCATAGTTTATAAAGCAAACTAACATTAATTTTTCATGTAGATTCACTCGCTTGAATATTCGCATGTCACTAAGGAAGACCCTGTATATATAACGGCATTTCCGTTGCTTGGAGCAAAAACAAATGATCAATGAGACTGAATATGATTCAATTGAAAAACACTTTGTTAGTATAATTTTAGCCCAACAATAATAAGTTGTCAGGGACCTCACTTATTTTACTCAGTACTGAGAATGTTCACACTTTCAAGTTCACCTCGAATTCGAAGTACAACGTTGAGTTCTTAGCGTATATTCTAAAAACTAAACCTATAATGAACAAATCTATTTATTATCCTACTCCTTCATTGCTAGATCAATTACCTATTGGAAATTTCTGGTCGGTAAGGAATTTAATATTCTACAAGATAAAGCAATAAACGCTAATGTGGAAGCTTAAGGTGCCATACGGAACAATTTCTGCCCAAAGCGAACGTGTCTACTGTCATTAGGGCTGAAATGGATTACATAATACTCCTGTACAGCGTAATGCAGCCACTATCACCACTTGGTTCGTTGGAACGCTTTAGAGACTAGTTTTAGATAAAGTCATGCATACAATCTATGACAATACTGTGTATAAATGGAAGAAGAACATGCGATTAGAGAAATGTGAACAGATGCTATCATGGCCGTCATAACGCAACGTTGCCAGAACGGCCCACGTTTCTGATAGCAAAAAATATGCCAACTGATCAGTGCAAAATTTTTCTATTACCACCTTACGATAGAACCACTGAGATCTCATGCAGTAACCCGATAACCTACGCTCCATTGAAACGAACTTGTCTTTTGTTGAATACTCCTGTAATGCACTAAATAAAGCGTGGCAAGTCGATGTTGTCTTTAGCAAGGCATTTGATAAGATAGATCACTCAATATTGTTGGATAGACTTGCTGAAATTGATGTGGAGAACTCATTGTGGCAATGGATAGCTCCATATATAACAAAGAAACAACAAATCAGTAATTTTAATGCCTATAAATCCGAACCATTTGTTGTAACATACGGAGTTCCACGAGTTATTTGGGACCACCTTTTTAGTAATATGTTTGAATAATGATCAGTTGAATCTTTTTTCTACTGACGTATTGAAGACTGCAAATATATCCAAGAAGATATTAATCATCTAGACGATTACACGAACAAAAATAGCCTTATCCTGAACTGATACAAATGTAATCTATACGCGCCCAACTAAGAACGTTAATAAAATAGAATACAAATATAAATTATATGATACTGAATTGCAACAGGGAGGGGTAGCTGAAGATTTAGGTATCTATATCAATGAGAAACCTACTTTTAATCGACGTATTGAGAAAACTACAGGGTGTTTCACAACTTATCCGACAAATTTTAACCACACATGCACTGTTACGAAAGAAGTTGATTTCACAAAAAAAATGTAATGATAGTGCTACAGAAATCAAGATAATAAAATAATACAGTTTAACAGTTCACTTATAAAAGCTGTCAAAATTTGTTTCCATTGACTGGAAGCTTGGGCGCGTCTAATCCAATTTCGGCGCACTAATTAAAATACATCTCCTTTCTGCTGTGCCTGAAGGCTCAAATTATTGCCAACCACTGGAGTACGGTATACCTCGTGTTTCAAGTATCCCCATCAAAAGAAGTCCAAAGGATTTAGATCGGAAGACCGTGGAGGCCATACAATTGGTCCACCCCTTCCAATCCACGCTGTGACATGTGACACTTCTGGGACCTGTTCGGCTGCCTTGAGCTTATTCCCGGATTTTCTTCCACGATATGCAAAATTTCGTCTTCGTCATTTAAAACACGTTGTGGGCGAACCGACTCCCATCCACTCCACGTCTGGGGAGCAAATTTCCACTAGCACGTGCACGTAAAAAATTGAACTAAATGTTTCGTGATGTGGTATGTGCCTATTCGGAAATCGGTGTGCATACAAACGAAAAGCCGCTCGCGAATTTTGCCCTGCTTCTCCGTACGCTAAAACAATGTCCAGTAACTCGACATTAGTGCACACATGTGCCATATTTATTAATAAATAACTAAAAACATAAACTCGCAAAATTCATTCTTATTTAACTTCACAAAAATGAACCGTTCTTCATTCAGATCACCCACGACACAGATTAAACCTCATTTACACGTTCTTAATAGTATGAAAAAACAAAAAATTATTTGTATTTTGTTTTCGACAGTTGTTTGGTACAACATTTGCTAGAATAAATTATTAATGCATGTTCTAATATCACGACGATGAACGCAAAATACAGATATTTATTTTTCAATTTATTATTGAAACTCAGGTTTATAACTTAATTTCTGTAGGACTTCTACTTTTTGAGAAATCAACTTCTTTCGTAACAGTGCATATGTGATTAAAATTTGTCGCATAAGTTGTGAACCACACTGTATAAATGAAGCCAACGAG